AATGAGATTCCTGGTTCCAGTGACAATTGCTGATTTCTTCAATGCAAGTCCTTTAACTGTTTGTAAGCACAATGCAAGTCCTTTGACTGTTTGTAAGCACGGGTACAAGTGTAGGAAACCAAAGAGGTCCCTCTTCACTTGCGATTCTTTGTTTGGCCCCTTAATTTCCACAGAGACCCCCTCCAATTCATTAGGAGTGTGGGTAAGAGTCGTTTCTTAAGGTAATCCTCCCTTTTCCAAACCCCTAATCTCTAAACCCTGAACCCCTACTCCCTACACCCTAAACCATTTTTCCGAATGTTTGGGTCCCTGGGCGTACCTATGCTTATGGTTCTGCAGTTTTACTAAGTCAAAACCTAGCTTTGCACGTGTCATCGCAAGCAGAAGCAGATTTTCAGTGCGCTGCTTGGGGATGGTTGTGCATTCTAGGTCCTGTAGCATGAGAGCGCCTCATAACCCTAAACTGGGTTTCGGGGTTAGGGCTTAGGGTTTGGGGTTTACGGCTGCCGGTCAGTGTAAGGCTGCGGGCGTCAATTTGTCTTCCGCTTTGGCGGAATGTTTTTCCATGACCTTCACATGGATGGCTTTACCTGAGCTGCGGTCTAAACTCATCAAAGGGGGTTACATATGGGATTTTATAGGGGTCTACTATAGGGGTTATTAAGGGGGATACTAGGAGTTTAGAGACAACCAAGATAATGCCCTCCAAAACGCGATGGTCCTTGCCCCTGCCCAGGATTTCACTGGCGTGGCCGGAGAAGGCCGTCGTTGAAATGCATCTGGTTGGGGAGCAGTATTGCAAGGATTTTTGAACGGGTCGTTGCGGGGAGCACTGGCTGTATCATAATTTAGACCAGCAAGATATGTTTGAAAGGTTGGCGTGATTTGGCGTGATTCGCGGATCTTGATATCAAGCATTTGGTTTTGTGGCATGTGCTTCTGCGATGCGGAGCGAAGAGCTTTTTAGTCGGAGTTGGTGCATTGTATCCCGGATAGAACTCCACTATTCCGTAAGTCCTCCTTCAAGGACACAAACATTATAGTCTAATCCCACGGGTGCCTTTTCTTTCTGCAGTAGTATATACTACATCCCCCTATCTGAAAAGGATAGCAAATTGCAAAACAAAACTACCTAGGAGCTCTTGCGTCATCTGAGACTCAGGCCCTTTAAACCATCTATAACCTTAAACCCTGAACCCTTTTATCCTAAACCCTTTCACCCTGAAACCTATAACCCTAAAAACCAATTAACCCTTCAACCCTAAACCCTTAAACTTTAAACCCCGAAGCCCTAAGCCCTAATCTTGTGGGAGGCACCTGTGGAATTGCATCCCCTTTGGCTGCGGCTCAACGATCCCAGCCAGGCCCAGCGCCAGCAAACCCATGATGCGAGAGTTTCCCAAACCAGGACCCTCCTTGTACCCTTAATTAGGGATATATGGTCCCTAATAGTGGGTACTTAGGCCCTAATAGAGGGTAGGAGGAGGGTCTAGGAAGAGGGAAACAAGTCGGGTTTACGGTTTAGGGATACCGAAGGGATTCCAATCTAGGAGAAGATAAGGAGCCTAATCCACTTATTGGGGATGAGGTAAATCTTCTTGAGTAGTAGCAGTGTAATGTCCTCATTTGTCTTCATTTTCAAGGGCCCTTACATGCTGGCATAAGCTCGCAGGGACTTCACAACCTTTTTGCAAGCCCCCAAGGGGGTTGTTGAGGCAAAAGGGTCGGGGGGTTCTTGAAGGTGTCGAGGGCTGCTAGCTGAAGCCAGCACATGGCTTTCGCACTCTGATATGTCTGAAAGGAAAGCTCCCCCAGTATGTTTATTTTATGTTCAAATTTTGTCAAGGGTTCTTATGATCATCACGCCACGAAGTGCAGACAAGGGTGAAGAATCTTGAGCTGTTGTTTGCGTACAAGGCGACGAAAAATCAGCAACGCCTCTTCGAGATGTCCAGAGTGGTGACGGGAGGGATAAGTGCCTTGGACCGGTGGCCGTCAGCACATCCCAATTTTTATACCCGACAGGTGATAAGGGCAGATCTTTGTGCTGGCAGGTGAAAATGATGTTTGGTTATACCGCGTTATGCCCATATACGCGTACGTGTAGGTATGTGTGTGTTTTGGTAGTAGCTGCGCTGTGCCAGTCTTCCCCGGTGCCATTCCTAATTCCTGCCTTTACGGTTACAATCATGATAAAGCACCTTGCAGCCAGAAAGCTGTTGGTATTCCCGGTGAGAGTCACCAACACAAGGCACCCTCCAAGGACGCACAACACAGAAACCCCAGAGCTTCCAGCGGCCACTACAGATGGGACTCAACCCAAAGACGTAAACTCACAGGTCGAGGACAAGACCACACAGAGCTGAGATTTCTTGCATATGAGCCATAGTCTAAACTCCTTAAAGGGGTGTATATAAGGGGTTGGGTTTAGGGGGTTCTACAGCGGGTTCTATAGGGGACTACTATAGACTGTAGGGAATATTAGGGGGGATACTGGGAGTTTAGAGTTTAGACTATAGCTAATGTAGCATAATGTAAGTCTCAGGATTCACAGGAATCGCGCGCGCCCACATTAGGAAGCTAGATGATGAGGCACTGGGGCCACCGAACCCTGACGATTAAACCCTAAATCCTAAACCCTAAATCCAAACCCTAAATCCTAAGCCCTATACCCTAAACCAACCTGAAACCCTCTGAGGCTCTCATGTCGCCGACTGCGTGAGTGCAGCCACAGAGCTGAAGGTTTCATGGGGCGACGGTGCGCAGAGCACGCACCTCTGACGTACCACTTTCAGATTCGGGTTTAGGATTTAGGATTTAGGGTTTAGGGGTTATAGTTCTCCTTAAGTAGATAGAATGGGGTATATGGGGCTCTTACTATAACATACCCAAAGCCATATTCTATCTACTTAAGGGGGCTCTACCCCCAGTTGGGTGCTCCTTTCACCAGCACCCCAAGCGTGTCGGCTGGCCCGGCTTCAAGAATCAGATGGTCAAAGTTGCTGGTTTTGGTCTCAGAGCTTCCTGGGAGGTAGGGTTGAAACATAGGTGAGCCATGGGCGGAATTGGGATCATAAAGTTGAAAGGGGTGGCAATGCTACTTGCTACTGCATGTCCCCTAGACCAAGGGCCATCCAAGTAGCGTGTGGGAGTCAGGAGCACACTTGATTACGTAGAACTGTGGTTTTGAGCATTCGTCAGGTGCCATGAGAAGAGTATCAGCCCTCAATCTTGAACATGATATTGCACAGCACGCCACGACACAGCGAAACCAACAAGATGCGCAAACCGTTCTCCTCACAAGCTCTTTCAGAATCCTTACGAAGTTCCTCTTCCTTCAAACCGCCCCAAAACATTCTGGTACTTCAGAGAGAATGGAAGTCTGGATTTAGCAATTCCTTTCCCAGTTTATTCGATCTCCAAAGCTTATATTAGCTTTGATGTGCTTTTTCAGTCTCCAAGCCCCCCTTAGGCAGTAGTAAGCTCCAATTCTAAACAGAACAGCAAGAAAGTTTCTAAGACAAATCTTCTCAGCAGGTATCCATGGGACTGGCTCGAGCGTCAGGTGCACCCCAAAGAGGCATTTGCAGGGCTTTAGGGTTTGGGGATTTCAAGGTTTGAAGGTGTTTGTCAAATTGTCGTATTTGTTGTAAGATTTGTTAGGACTTTCGAGGTTTCTAGAGGTCAAAAGGGTTGGAACATGGAACTGGGATGCAACATGCTACGTTTCCCTCATCCTAGGTCTGGTAAACCAACTTGCAGGTTCCCATTGTTGTATGTCACCAGGTGCAGATGTTGGGGTGTAGGGTTTGTTGGTCCAGGTTTTGGGGCTGAGGACTTGATGGTGTAGGGTTGGACTTTCTCGAAATGATGGGCCCTTTTTTGAAGGGTTGCCGGGATCTTTCGCTGAGAAACACCTTTGCATTAGCCTTCAAGGCTTGAGGCTGGGGGGTGGTCATGAGGGCTGAAATCTTGAGATTAGATGTCGTTGCTAGCTTGCACAAACTCTACAGCCTGGATTCGGCAAGTTGCGTTCAGGAATCCGATGTATAGCACAATACAGCTTAGAGTTTAAATGGTACTTCTAGAGGATCACGAGCAGCCGTTATGCTGCAGGACCGTTGCGAATGAATGCATCGGATGTTGATGGAGTGCATGTTCTAGCTCAGCACGCCCCTTGCAGGTGAGTTTGCGCAATGACCTGAATTCTACAACTCAGAAACTAAGCTTATAATCTCAAAAGCTCCAACGAATTTCATGCCCGAGGTTGAGAGATATCTGTGGGGGAGCCGCTTCAGCCGCTTTCTCCCAGAGATTTCGTACAAAGACCTGAGCTTCGGTCATCACAGCGTTCGAAACCCAGGGCAGTAGGGGTGAGGGGACCGACTACATTTCTTGCTTTTCTCGTTGTTGCTAGTATTATCCGCTGTACTGTTTATCTTAGTATTATGGGTAGGGGTCATGCTGTTCCACCTCAACAGCTTGGAGTGGACTTCGAGCACGTCCGACCCCAATTGTAGCTGCTCATCAACCTCCCAGTAGGTAAGTAAGCCTTGATGTTTGTGGGTCATCCGCGCCTTGACAGATTCCTTACTTGCAGGAGGGGATTTTACCAAAAAACTCTTATAACCCCCCTTTGCTGAGACGCTGGCTTATCGGTTTCCCGTGCATCTTTTCATTTGTTGCGCGAGATCCAGAGCTCGCAGGGAAAACCTACGCTGTAGGTTGAAGTTGTTTTTGACATCCCAAGTTCTTGCCCGGACTGAGTTACCTGACAGCTGCTAGCTGCGAAGAACACATCGCTTGGGAACCCGGGTAGCATTTGAAGTAGGAATGAGAGGGTCAGGCTTTCTGTCCCCCACAACACTCTCATCCACATAGATTTGCCTTGTCAGCAGACGCGCTCACCTAGGAACACGCAGACCGGGAAGCTGCAGCTTTGTACGTACCTTCAGAGATATGGGCTTGGCGTCATCAGAGGGGTGGACGTCCAGAAGGGCATGGTGGCTCGCAAGTGCTTTATTTCCGGTCCCTGAGAATGGCAGTACGTTCGAAGCCCGGTGCAGCGTTATAGCATGTCCCCTGAAAATCCTCTACCGACCATATTCAGATGCCTAGCGCCCAATCTGCCCCCAGCAGCCGCAAGCTGTCCCTAATTAGCCTGCCCCGCACATTGATTCCCAACAAGGCTCTTGCCTGCATATCAGCAAGGGCTATGAGTGGTGGAGGTAGAGGACATTAAGCGACCCAGAAATGAGGGTGATGTTTTTTGTCCTACTGGTGGTGTGCGGGGAAGATTGAGGAATGGCTCCTACAGAAGCCCCGATACAACGCCTAATAATGCCCCATGGCCCATGTCCCATTCTGTACTAAAAGCCCGGTCAGCTTTCATATTTTTTGCACAACCCCAGAGCATCACACGTCCATCAAGATGCAATGGGGGCCAACAAAAATGTTTGCCTGATTTTTTCGTTCTTCAACATGTGAGCTCTGTTGGTGTTACGGGTGTTACGTTACATTCTACTGTAGTTGCCCCACTGTTGAGGCAGCAATTTGGGCACGCTGTCAATACATGTTTCTTGTTGCCCGATCCCAGGTGGAGAAGGTGAGTAACCAAATAGGCCACGTGCGGGTCACAAACTATGGGTCCATCTTCGATGTGCAGGACCTCTTGTTTTTCTTTCAGCAGGGAAGCTGCCTCTTGCTAGTAGGGAAAGCAGAAATTTGAACCTTCTGCGTATTGCTGCATTGTTGCACACATCCATTCCTTTCCTTGCTAGCAAGAGGCACCGGGAAGAGCAAAAAAGGGATTGATGAGTGCATCGGCTTCCAGCACAGACAACATGATCTAACACATTGCCTCAGTTGGGGCCCAGACTCAAGTACCAAAGGTATCCACTTCTATTTTGGAGAGAGTACTGATATGTACTGACGTAGTCGTTCACCTGTACCACATTCCAGACGTTGAGCTTCTTAGGACACAGCTGCCCGCCCTTGTGAAAACGTGGGGTCAACCCAGGGACTAAAATGACTTAAACCCTAAACCCAGGGACTAAAATGAACAAGCCTCTTTTACCATGCTCTTCCTATATGGTTTTCCTCACAGTTTAAAGTGTAAAGGCATTCTCTACTACACCGACATCCCCACTCAAGCTTTCCAGGTTTGTAGGAACTATCCGGGATTGCAGGGATTGGGGGTCAACAAGTGTATATAAAGATTATGTGGGGTTCGATAATGGAGATTATGTGGTGTATAAACATCCATCCAGGACAAGGGCGCTGAAGCCACCAACCTGGCTTTCACCAGCCAGAGGATCCGGGCACATACCGACAACCCGTATCTGGGAATTCTGGGTTTGTTGTTTTGGTGATTTGGTAGTTCCCCCAAAATAGGGGGACCCCAATGTAGACCCCGAAATACTATAGTCCTTTATTATGGGGACCCCTAAAACGGTACTCCGAATTTTGGGAGACCCCAATTTTTCTAAGCAGCCCTTGCAGAATCCTAAGCAAGGACCGCTAGAACTCCCTTATGCTTACCGCAAACCTCTTGGAGTTCCTGGGGCCTTTCATTCTAAGAAAGGCCCAGTTATGGCTTTGCGGCAAGTCCAGCTTGAACAAATGGTAGTTTCCCAAAATTAGGGGAACAAGATGATTTGAGCAGCCTGCAGAAATGACCTAATGATACTTAGGGGGAGTGGGGGAGTGAATATAGTTAGCATTATAGGGGTATATTAGACATTTTATAGGGATGACGGGATCCACTCCACACTCTGCCTTAAGCACCAGTAAGATGATGCAAGCATTAGATAATCCTGCTTAACTTTATACGGGCGCTATCAAACTCAATACAGCCTTTGTCTACTACTTATTACTTTCAGAGCCAGGGGGACTTCGTAAGTGGGTGAAGCATGGGGATAACTAGGATCAATATATGCATTTTAGGGACTATCAACCTATTTACGAAGTCCCCCTCACCCTCCAATTAATCAGGTACAAAGACCCTTATCCCTAAACCTTAAACCCTCTAAGTAATCAGGTACCGAGACCCTTATCCCTAAACCCTAAAGTTTCCAGGTAGTCAGGTACAGAGACCCTTATCCCTAAACCCTAAAGCCTCCAAGTGGTCAGGTATAGAGACCCTTTTCCCGGCGTGCAGTTGCTGCACTGCTTGCAGAGCGCTGCTGAGGGTGGCGCAACGCTCTTCATCGATGGCCTCCCGCTGGCAGTCATGTGAGCTACAGGCTGAGCTCCTTGTATTCAAGGGGTTATATGGGGGATTATATAGGGGAGTATTGTTGGGGGTGATTGAGGGGTGACTAGGAGTTTAGACTATAGCTCATGTGGGGGGTTGAAATGTTGGGGTTTAGTCAAGTTTTAGGCTTTGTGGCTTCGGAGTTAGGGTTGTAGTTTGGGGTTTGGGGCATTTAGGGCTTGGGGTTTAGGGTGTAGGCTTGGTAGGGTTTGGGGTTTGGGGTTTGGAGTTAGTGTTTTGTGGCATAACAAGACACCCGAATGTGTTTGCGATTTAGTGCTATAGCCCCAAGTATGATAAGTGTGACTCTCAATGGTTAGTTAGTAACCTCCCTGAACCTCCCAGAAAGCCTGATGTCCCTTACGCACGGAATACAGCCAAAACCATATCAGGGATCATAGGTAGATTCCCTAGTTCAGGGATAGTGGGCTTTCCCCTGAAATGACCCCCAAATACCACAAGCCTTATTGCAAGGACCCCTGACAGATGGTGCCCCTAATTTGGGAAACTCCCATAGCTGCAGCACGGATCAACCTCCAAAGGCCAGTCTCCCCTCTTCAAGGTGCAGCTTCTACCCAACGACTCCTAGGGAGTTCCTTCTTGGGCTTGTGATAGAATTTGGTAATGGATAATGTACTTGCCACACCGACTTTGAAGGAGGTTCTGGGTAAGCAGTTTGCAACGAAGTGCTGAGGTTTCCGCGTGGCAGAGGAGCTTCGCAAGCAAGATGCGGAAGCATTCCGGCTGTTGGCGACCACCAAGCATCCTTTTGAAACTGCAATCTGGAACAGAAGAGTTGCCTAGTTGTTCTGGTTTCACGTTTGGGACCTAGGATTCTAGGTCTGTTTCTTGGTGAAGACTAGCCTTTTAGGAATATCGAGATCCCGATGAGGGAGTTCTGCTTCGAGCCACATCTCCTGTGATCCAGCTGGGCCAAGGAAGCTTGGCATCATCCAAATACAGCGCCCTTCTTGTAAATCCCCAAGTTACACAAGCTCTGCTTAGCAACATGACCCCGCTACTCCAAAATAGCATTTCCATATTGTGCAAAGGCAGTCCTACTTGATAACAACTGGAGTGTCCTTGGTGATTTCCTATCGGCCGCTTGGGACCTTTCTGGTGGAGGATTTTTCCCAAAAGGAGGGACAAACGTCAAGGGTTCTGTAATATGTTGATCGTTTTAGGAATGGTTATACTACGCGACAGCAAATCGCAGGCTGCGCGCCCGCAGGAATATTTTTCAACCCGAAACCTGTAATACAGGTGACGCAGTTGAGCGCATCACGTTCAACAACCGCTCAGCAGCTGCCTTGCCTGCATCCTTCCCGCACTTCAAGGAAGCTTGAATATCCAGCAGACCTGTTGAAATAAGTCTTTAAACCTAGACCCTCCGACTACCCTCCATCTCGAATAGGCCTAGGTACCCACTAGTAGGGGCCATTTAAGGGTACTATGAGGGTCCTGGAAAAGGTCCCTCTTCTATAGCAGGGCTCAGAGGTGTTCAGGTGAAGAGATCAGGCCGAACCGGTGGACCTGATTGCTGGTTGGTCATGGCCATGCATGAGGGTTTAGGGTTTGGGGTTTAGGGATCCGTTTGATCGTGAGATCCCATGGATGGCCCCAAAGCTTGAAACCTAAACCCAATCCCCGCCCAAAGGTCGAAAAGAGCATGCCAACAAAAGCAAAAAAAACACCAGAGCCTTGAAGTGTGACTTTTGGCTAGCATAAATGTCTCCGGGAATTCTCAGGGACGTGTTTTGAGAATCCCCTTGAACCCAATCCCTAATCCGGAGTCACGGGTACTTGCAAAATAGCTGTAGTGTACAGACCAGTCTCTATGAACTTACAGACTTTCTGTTTGCTGACGTTTTTTGCTGCCTCCTTCATTTTGGAGAATTCTTTGTAAGAGTCTTTCTCACTTTTTGTTTCGTCTCACTTTGGCTTGTGCCTTGGCTCCATCATCTCGGATCTTTTTGTTTTATGTTTGAGCCGGAAATCTGCCATAGAAAAGAGTCTCACTATCACGACGCATATGCACGTGCGTAGTCATCTGCATACATGTCCACATGTGTAGATCCAGATGATCCATACCCCAACCCTACCCTTTAAAGCCTAAGGAGTACTACAAAGCTTGGGCCGCATTCGATGCCTTGGCCAACTCCGAGGACTTCAGCGTGAAGCTGCTGATGAGGCCCATCAAAAGGGAGCGAGGTTTGAAGATATAGGTGCAAGTAAAGAGGAACAAAGGCCTAGGGTTCGGCTAGAATTCAGGGCCTGCTAAAAAAGCATGCTCATTTCTCCCCTGATTCCCCGGAAACCTGACCATCTCGAGCATTGAACAAGGGGCAGGACCATTGAAAACAGTCTACGCAGAACCTTCTATGTAGTTTGTTGGGTAGTAGACTGTATTCCCTCGCCACAACATCAGAGCAAAACAGAAAGGACCACATGGAAAATCTTGGTTGCCCTCTGCATCTTGAAAAGGGTTCTCAAACAGGCCCGGCGACCTGGCCATTTGGCTCAACGGCCGCGTGATGCATGGCCGCGAGAGCTACTGGGTATATGACTCATAATGTCCTGCAAAGTAGGTACGCAATAATGGCCCGTGGGGGGTCTAGGTAACCAGTGCTCGGCCCATGTAACCCGGCAATCTACAGGACCCAAATAGTGAGGGCTTATAGGCCAGGATTATCCAACAAGTGGCGCGTTTGGTTTGCTTGGGGACTTCGTAAGGGGCAAGAGCAGAGGATCCAAACTGTTTCAAGTACAGCCAGGGGAAAGCATTTTGCTTATTGGGGATCCTAGGCCTGGGCTCCTTAAAGGGGATTATACAGGGGATTATATCAGGGAGAACTACATGGGGTTGTTAAGGGGGATACTAGGAGCGTAGACTATGGCTCTGAGGAGGCCTCTGTTAGAGCAGCCCAGGCTACCAACCCTGAAACACTAAACCCCCCTTAAACCCTTAAACCCTAAACCCTTAAAACCTTAAACCCTAAAACCCAAACCCTAAACCCCAAACCCTGAACCCTTAAACCCTACGCCCCAAACCCTAGACCCAGGCTACCAACCTGGTGGACCTCGTCACATCCAGGGAGCCTACCTGGATCAGGACAAGAGAGCCTGCCCATTCCCAGACCCCCAAAGGATCTAAACATTTGATCCGCTAGAAGACTATGAGGGATTATATGGGTGTGTGTGTGTGTTGGCTTTATTATGTAGGGGATCTAATTGTAGATCCTCCCGGGGGTCAGGGTTGCTGAGCTTCATGAGGGTAAACTGGGTTGCTGTTAAGGAACTTGAATTATGTTACCAGAATGGGTATATCCAGTGATTAGAAGATAGTTTCCCAATGTAGTAACTTTAAGTTCCTGAACAGCAAATCAGTAAAGTCGGCAGAGAACAAGTTGGTGGGGCTTCAGAGATCTCAATCCACCTGGGTTTCAAGTGTACCCCTCGAGATAGCAGGCATTTCAGGTGCAAGGATAGGAATCCATGGGCTCGACTGCATAAGGGTTGGGGTTGGGAGTGGAGGAATTCGCTCTCTTGGTTCTGGTAAAACAAGAAGGTCTCCAATGAATACACCAATTGGCCCCACTTGCAGCGTTTTTTGGGTATTGAGACGCGTAGATTTGTAACGGGGTGGTTGTCAAAATTATGCTCCTTTTTTGGGTACCCTAAATATNNGACCAGAATTTTGACAACCACCCAACGAACAGGACGAGATCAACTCTACGGTGCTCTCGGCTCTGGCGGAAGGCGTCGATCTCGATGCCTTTGACGTCCATCGCCGCAGAGCTGATGTCTGCATGGAGGCCCTGAGATCCCTCCCCAAGATCTTTGGATGCATCAGGTACTCAAGCTCCACAGATTTGTCATGCAATTCTTCCAGAATATCCCCCTTTCAAGGTACCGCAAATTTTTGGAAACCCCCGAATGCTCAGGACCGGGGAGGCAGATCTCCTCGCACAGGCTCGGAGGCGAGCAGCTGCGGCGCAAAAGTCCGGGGCAAGGTGTCGTGTTGGATTTAGGGTTTAGGGTTTAGGTTTGCTTTGTTTCCCTGGGGGCTTTGTTTATAAACTTGTACTTAAATTGGGTCCCAGTGTCTGTAGAAATTGCCTGCGTTGGGCTATTTGGAGCCCTCGGGTTTGTTTCGTGTTGACTCACTTTTTCAATTTCATGTTGCTTACAGAGGGCAACAGCAAGAACTAATAGTCAAACAGGTCAGATGTGGTGTTGGCTTGCTTGATGCACCCTGCGTTCTCCCACCCGGATGCTCCAAAGATGTGGGCCGCGGCTGCAGAAGCGCAAGGGGTGCAGCCTCCGCATTTCGCAGAACCAGGCTCTGCCATGGTAACAATGGGTTTCTCCTCCGACGTTGTGGATTGCGCAGAGCTTCTGGAGAAGGTCTTGTGTTTGGAAAAGCTGTCGGGGCCGGAGCAGGCAAAGGTTATGGGCATGCCTCAGGCAGAGACGCTTCTGCCCTATGCCGATGCTGGATACGGTAATACAGCAGCAGCTCCACTGGAAAGTTTTCAGAATCTGCTTCACGAACACTTTCGAAGGCAGTCCAGCTGAGGCATCTCTCTGCTCAGGACGTTGTGCCGTTGTGCACATGGATTACCGCTTCTTGCTGGATCAGGTAGACTGCAGAAAAGGAAGTTGGACATGTAGCTCTCTCAGCTGCAAGCATGAACTGCTGGCGCTGGCGTGGGAGCCGTCGCGGTACCTGCGTCTAGAACGCATCGATACCTCGCTGAGAGCCTTTGACAGGATGCGTGCCACATCATGAGAACAAAAAGGAGTCAAAAAGCAATGCCGCATTCTCAAAAAATCCTGTGCGGCTTCGTTTTGTCTTGTTCTGGTCAGGCCCAGTCATGCATTACTTTTGTTGCCCATACTTTGGCACCTATGGCCTCGGACATGTTGAGAAAGCCGTCTGAAATATCTGCGCTCAGGGTTGTGGATGAATGATGTGCTGCCAGATCCCGCATAGTCAAAGTGGGAGTTACCTCAGTGAATGCTCCGGAGGCCAAACCCCCCGCCGAGGCTGAAAGCCTCACAATGTAGACCACGCCGTCTGCCTACAGAGTCATGACGCTAAGTCAGCGGCAAGACTTGCAGCGCGCATCTGAGGTCCTGACTGTGGTGTGCATCGCTACCCCGGCCCGAAGCTTACATCAATTGGCCAGGGAAGACGGACTAGTTGACATGGACAGATTCGCCTTTGGGGGGAGTTGGTTTGATTTGAAAGCACAGGAATTAGGCTTTTGAGTTATGTTTAGGCTTGCATGCCCTCAAGTACAGGCCACCAGAACAGGGACTTTGAGCTCCTGGAGGTGAGGCCTACGTAAGCAGGCAATTCATGGGCTTTTCCGCCCTTGGCGTTTTGGAATGTGATTGTTGATTGGATTCCAGGCCATCCTTAAGCCAAGTGTCGCTGAAGCGAGTTAATTCCCTTTGGCAGGGATTGATTTCATATAGGTGCTTCCGCAGCATGCCGTTTGAGAGTTGCAGGTCATTAAGGTTTTTTGGCGTACCCAGTTCGGCTAGGCAGAACAACAGGATCCATTAGCAGGTCTTCTAAGATGCAGCTGAGAAGCGCAGTTAGACTTGGTTGAAGGCCTGGACATCCTTCGGCCATGTCCCACAGAAGGCCGGAGCCGGTGCTTGCAGAACGCTGGCATTCCAAGCATGGGTTTTACAGTTTACAGTTTAGGGTTAAGGGTTTAGGGTTTAGGGTTAAGGGTTTTAGGGTTTAGGGTTTAGGGTTTGTGTCATCTGCTGCGCTGGACTGGAAGTCAAGGCGGTTCTGTGAGCTGCAGTGAGCCAGCCATTCAGTTCACCATGAATCAGGGAGCGGAGGGGTGGGAGAGAGGTTATGTTATGTTACCCTAAACCCTATAACCCTTAAACCCGAGCCCTTATTATGTTACTTGACCTTGATGCCATGTATATCTTTTGCACATGTTGCACCCTGGGATTGCACGCTCCTACCTGTGTGCCGCTTTGCCGGCAAGTTGCCGACAGCTTGTAGTATTGCCGGCTTCCTGCTTCCAGCACATCATCGATGACGTGGGAGACACTACTGCAGCTTTTGCTAGCGACCACCTCTCTATCACCAGCCCTTACAGGCGTGGACATCTGCTGGAGGACCTGGCCAAGCGCGTACTTGAGCGGTTGCATCCTGGATGCTGCGTCCAGGATCCGCCAGCTTCTGCAACTCCTCCTATTGGACAGCGTTGTGGGAAGGGGAAGGCGGATTGGGATGGAACCTTTCAGGGAAGACGCCTTGAATTTAAGTCTGCACAGTTGTCATACCAACGGTCGAGAAGCAGATGGCAGCTAGCTTTTCATGATGTCAAGTTTGCTCGAGACGGCCGTGCCAGCCAACCGTTTGATGATCTCTACCTGTTGGCGTATGCACCAGATGGCTTCTATTTGTTGAAGCACGACCTGGCAACAGGCATCACCTCCTGTGGCGCGCGCAATGCTAAAAGAGGTCATAGAATTTCAATATCCGGTCACCAGGGGCAGTCTTGGCGAGAAGCCATGTGCACCATTTTAGCAAAAGTGATGAGCACGGGCACTTGCAAGCTTCTCGCGAGCATCTCACGGGCAGATCCGCTGGTTCAGGCCATGTATTGCAGGCTCTCTGGCCTGAATTGTTCTTTGGCAAGCACGGTGTACGAAGGTATTCCATGGAGCACTATGAGCCCAGCTCTGCGCGCCCATCGGGTGGAGCGAATCGGTCTTGAGTTGGATCAGCTGTCAAGCCCGCGAAGTGCGTTCTCCACTGCTGCTGGTGAGGTTACCTCGCGAGGCTGCCGGCGCGGAGTCAGCAATGCTGCGGTGGACTGGGTCCGAGACGGCACGAGGGTTGAAATGAAGAGTGCAAAAATGGTTTTCGATATCAGGAAGCAACGTTGGACATGCTGCTTCAGGAAGATCAAAATGCCAGGATGTGGGGACTGTCGCAGCATCTACTTTGACGAGCTATGGCTTGCTGTCTATAGCCCCCTTGGCATACACTTCTTCAAGCACTGGGGCTGGCGTGACCACCTATGTGGTAAACGTCGACTGGCTGTCGAGGGAACGGCCCTTTCTGTGTGTGGCAGGCGCAATGATCTCGAATTCCGCAGTGCGCTGAAGGATATGCGAGGAAACCTCGAAGCTTCCGGGGCTGAACTTCATGCGGTTGTGCTTTGGGAGAGACCAACACAGATAATTTCAAGGTCGGGTTCTTCCAATACAAGTTGCAAAAGGCTGAGCAGTACAAGGACGGCACGCAAAGATTTTCAAAGACAGTATTGACAACGCTGATGCTGCGCAGTGAGTTCGTATTAGGTAGCCTGCAAAGTGCAGGTTCGCTTTCTTTGGCGATGCAGTTTCAAAGGATCGAATGTGCACCCATCTTGCAGTCTGAAGTCACAGAAGCGGCCGGTGCTGTCCTTTTTTACCATCGAAATGCTGAGGCCCACCCCATAACCTGCGCCCTGCAGGTGTGCGAATGCTGTAGCCAATCGGTGATAGCATAGCATGCTTCATATTTGCCGTTTTGGTTGGTAGCCACCAGCATCTCGTAATGATGGCTTACCCCTTCGAAGAATAAAGCTATCGAACTCACGTAGTTTGAAATGAGCGACACATGGTTCGCAGGTCTGCTGAAGGGCCATGGTTTCAAAGGTGATATGCATGCAGTTTGAGGAACGATCTCGAAGCTACGCACCTAGTCTTTTGGGCGAAATCGGGTGTTTTTCAAGACGGAAAGCTGACACAAGCCTTCTTTCAATTCAGCTTTTGAAGCTTTCCTCCTGCATCTCGCATGCTGCTTGCTCTTTCATCTCTTTTCTGGGCTTCACGGGAGAATCCAAGCATTGTACCGTAGGGGCCTGAGTCATTGTCAATTCAGAATCATGTTGAGCTGTATTTGCGCTACCTCACGCTACAACTCCAAAGAGGAATATGATATCATAATGTTGGTGATAAAAATGATTCACAAGCGGAATACGGCTCTCGCAGGCGTCGAGAGGCAGCAAGCTGCAGCGCCACTTCATCGGCGAGTTGCTGGGGCCTTCGAGCAGAGAACTCCACAAGTAAGTTGCATAGCATCATGACCCTTCAAAGCCTGACGTTCACAAGAGCATGTCCACGAATTGCGGCCGTGCATCATATTGCTGCCAGGTGGCATGGTATTTTTGTTGATTCGATGGTCCTTTGCAGGAAAAACCAGACTGCTTCTGAACAAGGGTCCAGATGAAGATATGTAGAAGTGTGTGGGCAAGTCTGTGAACGTGCGTAGATTCGCATGCGCCTAGTGCGTGCGCTCAGTAGAAGACAAGGTAGGTTAACATGTTTTGCAATATTTCCTATTGCACGAAGGACCTTACGATTACTGGTTGGTATAGACATGGTTGCCCTCACCACACCACAGGCTGTTGGGGGATTGGTTCTCTCTTGTTTCTTGTATACATACTATATTTTTTCCAGAATTCCAATTTCATATGATTCCTCCCGTATTTCCTTGTGTAGGTAAATCTGGTTCGGACTGTGCTTTCTTATCCGCAAGACCCAAGCCCAGCCACACCACCACGGCTGGGCGCTCTGAGGGTAGGGGGGCGAGGGGGTGCTGCCGCGGCGCAACTGCATATGAGCTATAGTCTAAACTGCTTAAAGGGGGGGTATATAGGGGATTATATAGGGAACTACTATAGGGGTTATCAAGGGGGATACTAGGAGTTTAGACAATAGCTCACATGGAGCAGAGGTTTCTGCGCTGCCAGGTTTGGCGAAGAGAAGTCTGAAGGAGCTGTAGATGCTCCGAGCTCGGACTCCATGTGAAGGTTTGTGAACACGTTGTTCTGGATGTGCGTGCAATAATGAGAGGTTCCAGCACAGGCAGCGCAACCGTGTGCCGTATGTGGATTGATACTTGCAAAAATCGCCTTGCGATGCTCCTGGCTCATGATTGTCACAATTTTGTTGCAGGCTCTTGCTGGCTGCCTTTCTTTCTAAGGACACTGAGTATGCTGATGATGAGCCCCGCACTTGGCGACTGATTATTTGTTCATTTCTATTTCATGACGCGCCTAAACTAAGCTTGAAGAGGCCAAGGACGAATCGTAGCCCGGCACAAGCAGTGCTCAGCCTGCATGCCTGTCTGCATTGAATCTACACAATACTGCAAGCGACAGTGTGGGGACATCAGCTAGGGAGGAATGAGCACCCCGTGCAGTGGATTTAGAGGGGCCATCTCTATCGAAGTTTCTCAACTACTTTGCAAGGCCTGGCAGAGGTGGACCTTACGCCCCAGAAGGCTACGGGGCTTATTGTTGCAGAGGCTATACCGTCTTGAGACGGCCTCGATTTCGCAAAATTCGGGCTTTCATGTTGCCCTTATGCCGAGACACGGCGGCAATTCCTGTCATTGGCAGGTCAACGGGCTGGTGCGGCTTTACTATTTAGGGTTGAGGGTTCAGGGTTTAGGGGTTTCAGATGGGAAAGCCAGCCTGTTTGTATTTCAGTATGCTAACAGAGCAGAATACTGTAACCTCGCTTGTCTAGGTGTTGCCCCAACT